CCGACTCGGGTCGCTGATCGATCGATCGCCCCGCCGACTGAGGTGCTCCCTGCAGCTGGCCACCACCGCCCCAAGTATACGTGTTCCATTGCGGCTGTTGGCTGCACCCCCTTTCTGAATGCTTCGGAGGAGGTGCAATCTAGGACCGTTGGCGCGATGGCCCTCCCCCTCAGCCTACTGCGCCAACGGTCCGGACAAGGTAGATGGCCTCCTACCATTCCGCGCGCGTGAGTGCCCCTGGCTCCGCTGGGCCCACTTTCATGGCGAGTGGTGCTGGTGGTGCGAGCTGTGCCAGAGGTACTGCGACGGCAAGGAGCACCTCCTCGGGTGGGAGCACTGGACCGAGGCTGACAAGCAGAGACACATCGGGTGGCCTCACCCAAGGGAGTTCACTGCGCCTGGCAATCTCTGGACCACGACAAAGGGGACGGAGCACGACCACGTGCACAAGTGCAAGGTCAGCAGACCACTCTGGCCGGGCTGGACGTTGCCAGCGCCAGTGAAGGATCATGGCAGGCCCCACCTCCCAGGGTGGATCTTCCCCGACGATTGGGACTGCGCGCCAGTCAACTTCCCTTACAGGGATGACGTACACGACTTCATCACCCCCTCAGACACTATCCACTCCAGTGACTTGCGCCCACCGACGCAGCTCAGGACGGCATGGAGGGAAGCGTCAAAGGGGGGGCACAGCGTCTGGGGCTCCACCGGCCTACCTCCCGCGCAGCTCACGGGACGGCAGGCCCAATGCTTCCAGCAGGGCCTCCTCACAGGAGTCCGCTGACTGGCCTCGGCTCGAAAGAGAGGAGTACACAGACCAGCGCAGCAGGCACGGCGCACCCCCAGCGGTGACGAGGAAGGTCTTGCTCGAGTCGTCAGCGGTTGCCGCGGCTGACGCCATCACGCAGTTATACTCGGCACCCACCAACATCGCAGCCGCTCAGTTCCGCCTTCACACCCCCATCGGTGCAGCCGCCGAGGGCGTGAACCTGCCGAGGCACTGGGAGCAGGACCTGCGGCAGAGGGGGCGTAACCTTGAGAGGCTGGCTTGGGCCGAGTGCATGGCAGCCACCAGGACCGTCTGGGACAGCTCTACCAAGGCCAGAACGGACTTGGAAAGGAGGCAGAGCTGCGCGCTAGGCGTAGCAGTGACCCCCATTGACGAGGAGTCATCGTGCGACCTCCTCGATCAACTTAAGCTGAGGAATGCTCTCCCCACCCAGACCGGGAAAATACTGTTACACCTGCATTGGCCCCAAGGGTTCAAGGTCCTCCTCAAAGGGCAGGACGCTGGACAGGACGTCCGCATGCTGCTCCTCAGCATCACCAGCCCAACAGCGGACCAAGTGGCCACTGTCAAGTTCCACTGGCCACCCGACCTCGGAGGCACAGTCCCCCCAAACGACTGCCAGGCGCTGGGGCTCAAGCAACGCGTGAGTCTTCAACCAGCGTTGCACGATAACGATGGCGGGTCATCTTCGCACGCCAAGACCGCCTCGGTCTTGCCTCGCGCTCCGCACGCGTCGCCCTCCTCAGCCCTCCGCGATGGCGCGCGGCAGCAGCCCCGCCGCCGCCGCCCTGCTGTGCGCAGTACTGCTGTGGGCGGGCGCCCGCACCTTCGTGGCGCAGCTGGCGCAGTGGCCGGCGGCCGCTGCTGAGGGCGCGCGGTGGCCAGCCTGGGCCTGTCACCGCTGGCGGCGCTCGCCGCAGAGGGCCTGGACGCCATCGGCGGCAGCAGCGTCGCCCTGGCGGGCGGAGAGGAGGCCCTGTTCTACGTGGGCATCATCTTCATCACGCTCATCACCCTGGTCCTGACCGTGGCGCCTGCTCAGGAGAACCCCCGTCCAGGCTGCGGCTACTACCACGACATCGACTACGTTGCCGAGGGCATCGAAGACCCGCTGGATATAAACGACCACATCGGCTACGACCTTGTCGACGCCTCCGGCCACGACGTCTTCGTCTACCACGGCCACGTCGACTCTGACGACTGCGTGGACTACGACGGACACATCGACACCTCCGGCCACGACCTCAACGACGACAGCTCCAAAAGCATTGACGCCAGCATCAAGAGTGGCACCCGCGACAGCATCGTGGTCGATACCAACGCCGGCACTGACGACAGCAAGGGCGCCGGGAGCAATGCCATTACCCACGTCGTCACCGACATCGGCACCGACCTCGGCACCGAAACCGGCACCAATGCAGGCACCGATTCCGGCACGGACGCCAGCAGCATCGACGACGGCAGGGATGCCGCCACCGACGCCGGCACCGACGCCAGCAGCATCGACGTTGGCACCGATTCTGGTACCGACCTCGGCACCGACGCCAAAAACACCGACGCTTGCTCCGACTCCGGAACTCATGAAACCAACATCGACGTCAGCACCGACTCCAGCACCGACACCAGCAGGATCGACTCTGGCACCGACTCCGGCACCAACGCCACCAGTCTCGATGACCGCGCCGACTGCAGCACCGATGCCAGCATGGTCGATGCGAGCACCGACGCCGGGCCCAGCGCCGACTACATCAGCATCGACGTTGATACCGGCTCCGACGCTAGCAACATCGACGACGGCACGGACTCCGTCAGCGCCACCAGTGGCATAGACGCCGGCACTGCACCGGCGCCATCGGCACCGACGCCGGCCGCGTCGACGCCGGCACCTGCTCCTACACTGGCCTCAGCAGCACCGACGCTGGCACCGACTCCAGCACGGACTCCAGCACCGACGCCAGCACTGACACTGACACTTGCCGCCAGCACCGACGCCAACAGCAGGGACGCCAGCAACGACTCAGGCACCAAGTCCAGCACCAACGATGCGGGCACCGACTCCGGCACCGACGCCATCATCACCGACGCCGTTCAAGAGGATTCGACTGGCATTCAGAAGGACCCTCACTGTGCGGAGGAGCCGCGCACCCTGGACGCTCAACACCCTGTTGACGTCCAGCACCCTCACGAGGTCTTGCAGGTCTTGGTGAGGACGTGAACGGGCAAGACTATCACACTTGATGGCATGACGATTGATGCTGAGATCAACGACGTGAAGGTCAAGATCCAGGACAAGGAGCGTCCCCCTCCAGACTACCAACGCCTGCTATTCGCTGGACGCCAGCTGGCGGACGCCCGCACGCTGAAGGACTACCACATCCGACACGGGTCGATTGTACATGTGGTCCTCCGTCTCCGCGGGGCTGGGCCGGCCACTCTACTCACCGGGCTCCCTGAGCCGGGCGCAACGCCTGGGGCACCAAGCGCTCCACCAGGTGCCCCCTCGCCTCCATCTGGCAGCAATACGCCAAGCGCACCACCCCCCATACAAACTCTCCAATTCGCATGCCCACATGTGGCATGCCCACTCTTTGGCGCTCTCGCTCCGGATCCAGGCAGATGCCGGTCCTGCCAGCAGGAGGGGCTACAACAGGCCCCAGTGTCCTCGCCGCCAGGACTGCCGACACCACCTTCGACAGGCTCATCAATGGTGCAACCAACGCTGAGGCTTGACGAATGCATGGACAGCTACGAATGAAGACGACATGGAGGCGGAGGGCGGCGACACCGACCTGACACAGGGCCTGGAGCGGCGCATTTGACGCCAAGCGCACAGGCCCCTCCGCCAGGGGCGCCTCATCTACCACCTCGGTACACACGGCACCAGACGACGTTCGATCCCGACATTCAATTGCGGGAGACCTACGCCAAGCTGGTCGAGGATGCTGCGCTCGCTTCCTTCGATGTGCTCGCGGTGCGCCGAGCTACAGGTCACGACTTCACCCCTCCGTCTTTTGATGCGCTGCTCCAAGCTACAACTGCAGCCCCGCTGCGGATGCTCCTGCGTTGCGTCGCTTTCGACCCTGATGCACACGACGCATACCAACGCCTCGGGTTGGCTCGGGTGGAGGGCCCCGTGCCGAGAAGGAAATCTCTCGAGGACAGGGTCGCGTTGGGCATCGAGTTCCTTTCCGTCGGCACCACGACGTACCTCAACAGGGAAGCGCTGAATCAGGTCGAAGTCTGGCGACGGAGACTCCAGGAGGCTGCCGCGTCGCGTGTGTTGGACCTCCCTGACGCCTTGGCGGCTCGGCGAGCAATCAAGGGTGAGCCGAAGTCCTTGGACGCCTGGCGGGAGGTGGACGTGGAATTTACTCGATACTTGCACGACATTTTGGAAGCAAGCAATTATCCTGCGGTCCTGGCGCTCCACATGAGCAACATCTTGCATACTGACCTTGCGCAGTTCCCCTACTCTGCAACAGTTCCAGACACGCGGCATTTGCAGGCGCAGTTGTGCGGATCGCAGGATGCTATCGAACAGCTCTTCCGGCAGCTGCCAGCCTCGCACTTGGTGATTTGGGCCCCGAACAACCCTGGCCAGGTACAGATGGTGGCACTCGCGTGGCGCGGCACGACAGGCGGGTGACAGGGACTCGAGAAGTTTTCTCTCATCGTGCCCCTCAGGATCCCGCCGGGCTGCCAGAGCGCCAGCCAGGTAGACGATTTATGGGACCGCCCCCTTCTACACCCCAGATGGCGAGATGTTGTCCAGGAGGTTCGGTACCTGACCCCGCCAGTGTCTGTGGTCACCACTGGCAGAACAGCCCCCGTGCACCAGCAACGGCACATCGCTATCATCACCTTGGGGTCCCCAGCTGAACCAGCGCAGCCTCTGCTGGAACAGTGGCGTCCGACCTTGTATGAGCACCAATCTCAGACGGCGCTGCAGATCGACGTCCCAGAGGGCCACCGGCGGAAGGTGTACCACATCCTACGCGACAGTCGCCTTCCCAATCTGGCTTCTGTCGACCACCCGATCCCCAGCCTGGGGTCCTCGAAGGATGACCCGCGCTCACAGTTGCTGATTCACATCAACCGAGTCGGCCTCCAGCGGCTGGGATTTGATTCCATTCGCCACTGGGTTACGACGCAGTTGTAGCCCTTCTTTCCGGTGGTCGGGTGGTGCGAGCTCGTCCGCGACCCCGCGGCGATGCTGCTGGACGTCACGTCCCTGAGGGCTGTCCTCCACTACCAGGAGCTCTGTAAGGACGTGCTCGTGCTATCGGCGAAGGTGGTCCTCGTCTCCACGTGGTCCGACAGCGCCGTCTGGGGCCACCGCCTAACCGACACCTGCGAAACGATCCGACGTGCACTGGCGAACGCATCCGGCACCGCCGCTCACGTGAGGGCCCCGAGACATACGCGCAAATCGCGGCGACGGCTTCGCAGCTCAGTGCAGCCAGAGCGCGCCGTGGCCACGCAGCTGTCGTAGCGGACCCGACGAAACCCATCACGTTGCAGGCGACGGTCCACATGCCGCTGGGCACGACCGGTCCTCTGGAGGAGTGGCTCCCTGCAGCTCTGAGCCGGGCCGCTGCGCATGGGCTGCCCGCACTCAGACGTGCTGACAACGACAACGGCCTCGCGATGCACGAATGGCGCCCACTCCAGGATGCTGAGGGCCGGTGGATGGGCAAAGCCGTAATCCAGCTCGCCACCGAAGCCGAAGTCCGACAGCTCCATGGGGTTTATCCATGGCACTCGCTTGGCCGTCAACGGGCACGACGTTGCCGTCGAAGTTCACTCCCAGCATTTGGACCTGGACGCTGGCAGGAGTTACCATCGTCCACCAGGCGGGCATTGACTGGGTCCCGAGAGGCGAGGTTGCCGCACTTCGACCTCTCTAGGCGGCCACGTTCTCCTAATTCATTTTTGCGGCACAGGGGGCCGTGAAGAATTCGAAGCTGTACCAAGCTCTACTTTCTCTTGTCGTACCTCTACTTCTACATGCTCTACCAGACGTTCGCGGCAGCCTGGCGCACCTGGCGTGCCGAGGGCACCAGGTGGAGCATCGCATATTCCTCCTGACTCCCACGCTCGTCTACCTCCTATGCGCGGCCCATTCCATGGAGATTATACTGGCGTCAGCTGGAACTCACAGGCATATTTCGCATCCGAGTGTCCTCTCCAGGACGCCAAACAACACTACGCCGACCAGATTTTCGAGAAGCGGGACTTCTTGGGAGTGGTGGAGACGCATAGCAATCTAGGCAAAGTATTCGGTGCCAGAGCTCATCCCGGTTATCAATTATTCTGGTCACACGGCACCAACCGCCAGGCAGGAGTGGGATTTCTGATGGAGGATGCGTTCCTGCGGCGCTTCAACCCCGTTGCACCGACCGATTGGGTAGAGGTCGACCCAGGACGGGCGGCTAAGTTATCGCTGCGCGGCCCGTCCGGCGCCTTAGACATCTTCATCGTCTACATGGCCTCAGGCTCTGACTCGGCAATGCGAGCTTCGAGACGGGCGACGACGAGTGCGATTTCTCGCCACATGGCCGCTCCTGAGCAAGCGCTAATGATCATGATGGGCGACTGCAATTTCGTTGTGGACCGCAGGGACCGATGGGCAAAAAGTAGTGCAAGGTGGACGGGGGATGCAGACCGGAGCGAGGCGGACGTTTTCAGAACCACTTTGGCACAGCCGTTCCGCCTCCACGAGCTCCATCAGCCGTTGTTCACCCACGAGTGCGGCCTTGCACGCTCCAGGTTGGATCGCGCCTACTCTAACCACTCCCCCGCGGACCAGCTGGACAGGCACTTCACTTGCTTCGCCCTCCCTGCCACGCACTTGTCTGCGCACTGGGCTATTGCATTCAGCCGCCGCTCAGGCGCGGACACGTCACGGAAGCGGCCGGCTCTGACTTCACGTGCAACGTCACACCCTGACTTCGCCAGACGGGTCGTCATGGAATACCGTGAGCTCCTTGCCCACGACACCCTAGACGCTTCTCCGATACGGCATTTGGTGCTCGTCAAGCGCGCCATGCACACCGTGGCGGCGAGCATGCGCAGGGAAGAGGACGAGGCGCAAATCGAAGGCACTGATGATGAGCTTGGCTGGATCCTCAGTTTCCTCCGTGCGGCAGAGCAGGTCAATTTGACCCGCATGAGGCGCTGCGCAGCGGTTTGTCCGAAAATCGCTGGATATGTGCAGCCGGAGAACCCCGAAGCTCGCAGCTCGCCGGGCTTCTGGCAGCTAAAGGACTTCGCAGTGCAGCTGGCCCGGCGGTCGCTGACGGAAGAGATTTCGGAACTCCGACGTCAGCAGGGCCATTCTTCTTTCGACCACTTCGCCCATTCCAAGTCCAACATCCTGACGAAGCTTAAGCGCCTACTCCCTGGCTGCTCCACGACGCTGGCGGCGATGCAGGGCGCTGACGGCCAGGTCACCGATGGCGCCACCGAAATGGCGAACGCCCTGAAGACTCATTGGGAAAGGGTATTTCAGGCACCCGCCGTGGACTTCGACATCCTGCGTGAGTGGATGGCGTCTCTCCGCAACGACCCTGCCAGCGCGCCAACGCAGCCCGTCCGTGACCCGCTGGGGCGACCACGGGCGCCCCGTGGACAGCTGCCCCGGGAGGCATGGCAACGGCAGGTCCGCAAGAGGGACATCGAAAAGGCTATCCCGCAAGCAGGGAACACCTCCCCGAGCCCTGACGGGATCCCATTTTGCGCGTGGAAAGCCCTGAAAAGCTTTGGCGTGTCTACACTTCTGAACGTTGCGAGGCCGTTGGAGAGTGAAGACGCCGCCGAGGCCATGAGACAAGCATATGGGGACGAGTGCGACGGCGCCGGCCGCAGCTACAATTTGGGCACGCTGGTGTGCTTGCCTAAGGCACCGACAGGTGAGGACCCGGAGCTGGGCGCTTTCTACCACGCCTCTGACACTCGCCCCCCGTCTGTCGTCAACGCAGACAACAGATTGGTCGCAAGCGCCATGCGCTGGCGTTGGGAGGAGCACCTCGGCGCATACGTGCAGGACAGGTAGCAGGGCTTTGTTCGCGGACGATCAATATTCAAAGACTTGGTCGAAGTGGAAATCGTGATGATGCTTAGATATTGAGCGACGGCGATTCTGCTGCGGTGTTCCTGGACTTCGCTGCCGCCTTTCCGTCCATCTCGCAGGAGTACATCCAAGCTTGCCTGCGGCACATGGGCGTCCCTGCCGTAGCCGCCTTCCTCAGCCTCTACAACAACAGTCGCTGCGTGGTCTCCGTTAAGGGGCAGATCTTCGACGGGTTCTGCATGACCTCGGGCGCGCGCCAGGGCTGTCCTCTTTCTCCTCTCGTGTACGCAGTGGTAGCCGAGAGCTTGCTGGACACCGTGGAGGCGCGCTCAGAAGGGATTTTCGCACGTGCGTACGCTGACGACACAGCGCTCGTGGTGCGCGATGTTTGGGCCGAGGCGCCAGTGCTGGTGAGCGTCTTCTGGGACTTCGAGCAGATCTCGGGTTTGAGACTCAACAAACAGAAGTCCTTTGTGATCCCGCTCAACGCCGCCACCTACGCCGAGTTTGAAAACAGAAAACGGGATATTGTTCCTGCCTGGGCAGACATGCCAGTGCGTTCTTGCTGCAAATATCTGTGCTTTCAAATGGGCCCCGGGAAAGGCGACTCGTCTCGGCGAAAACCATTGCAAAAATACAATGCCCGACTCGACCAATGGAACGACCAGCCTCTTTGGTTTGCATTTGACTGCCCAGGTCTACAACACTTTCGCGCTTCCGACCCTGGGTTACATCAGCCAGCTCGAGACACCGCCAGAGTGGGTTCTTACAGGGGCGCAACGGTCGCTCAGCCGTGTAGCAAAGGGCCCGGGGCCCTGGGCTACTGCGCCCGATCTATGGACATTGCAGGAAGCTTTTGGTCTGGCGACTTCGTTCAAAAACTTAGAGCGGATGGCGCTCGCAGCCAAGGTCCGCGCGGTCCTCTTCGACGGTGCGCGCGCTCCGCGGCGCCAGTTTCTAGATGACGTCGTTCTCCACCTTCGGGAGGCCCTCGCTCGCCCAGGCCGCGACCACTCACGGGCTGCTTGGGCCGACTGGTACGGCCGCGCCTTCCTCCTCTGTCTGGCGCAGGCGGAAGACCGCGTCGTTTGGCTTGCAGGGTCACTGGAGTCTCTGCGTCGCAGCCGGGCTACTGGACACCAGCGGGCAGAAGCTGATGCTACTTGGCGCGTGGACTGCCAGCGCACGGTGTACGCCTTCCTGATGGCCGACTCCATTCGCAACCCATGGAACAGATTTCGGGTCAAATTCCGCCGTTGGCAACTTGGCGACGCAGCCCGTCGATCACGCGTCGATCTTCGGGAGCACAAGGGAGCGGACGCCAGAATGGCAAAGCAGACGGGCTGCGCTGCTGCTTAAGACATTGGGCGCACCAGTGCCTCCGAGAGTCCAAGCGGCCGTCTGTTCGACCATGTGGAACAGGTGGGCCACGGCGCGCCGCTTCCAGGGCCGCGGCAAGTGTTTATTTGGTTGCGCTGGATGCGCCCAGGACAGTATAGAACATTACTGCAGATGCCCTGCGGTTCGGACGGTGTGCCAACGGATGCTTCGTCTCGACACAGAAAGTTTTTGCAACCTGCACACATCCATATTGGTGAACCCTCGTATTGCTTCCATGGAGACGCTGACCACAGTCGCCTTGCTCGTCTACGGGGTCTACACGGCTTCCAACCGCATTCGTTTCCACGGGAGACCGCCTCCGGACTCCGCCGCGGAGACCATCGCGCAAGCTGTGCGAGAAGGGGCAAAAGGGCACGCCAATGCGACCAAGGTACTAGGAACGAGGCGGGGAAGACCTTCTCCATCTACACCGCTGCCGAATCCACCGTTGGTCCCTTTCTCGGACCGCGTGATCGAATTTCGCCGCGTTTGCCAACGAGGAGGCTGGGAAAGGGCTGTTCGACAACGACGGGGATAACAGGGGGGCACGAGGGGCCGCCGGCGGACAGTTGGATGGACTTTGCTCTCTCTGCTGCCGTCGCCACTCGGCCCCTCCCACTGGCATACCTCCGCCCACCTCCACACTCTCTCCGATTGATTCCACCATCATGCTTCCGTCCACTCTCGGGCGCCCCGACTCCGTGTATACCGACGCCCGATTCAACGCCAGCACCAACGCCAGCACCGGCGTCGGCGACGTCGCCGACGTCAGCACCGACCCCAGCACCTACGCCAGCGCCTACGCCAGTGCCGATGCCGGCGCTAGCACCAGCGCCGACGACATCAGCGACGCCCGCATTAATACTTGCGCCTCGGCCAGCGCCAACTCTACAGCGCTGTCGGCGACTGAGACAGCGCCAAGCCTTTGATCCAGACCTTCCGCCGAATTTCATCTCGGGGCTCACGCCGGCACCGACGCCGGCGCCTACGCCAACGCCGACGGCGGCACCGACACCCGCATCAACACGGGGGCATGCACCCACACCAGCTCTACAGCGCCTTATTCGGCAAGCCTTGGTCCAAACCTCCAGCCTCATTTCATCATTTCATCACTCTCCACCTCCACCTATCGATCTACAAGCTCCACCAGCTCAGCATCTGACTTTTCACTCCAACCTCCAACTTCCGAGCTCCAACCTCCACCAGTTCAACATTCCGACCTCCAGCCCCAAGCATCCGAGTTTCCTCCTATTCCACCTCATGCCCTCGACCTCCAGTGCCCACCAGCACACCCTTCCGACTTCAGCTCCCTGCATCCGACTTTGCACCCTCACCTGTCGAAGTACAAGCTCCACCAGCGCAGCACATCCAACCTCCAGCACGCTGGTGACCTGGCTCAAGGCCCAAGGAACGAGCGTCTGAGCTGGCCAAGCCGGGCATGAGCCCCCCGCCCGAAGGAGGGGGGGCACTGACCTATTCTAAGATATTCTTGAATAGGTCCACACCCGCACTGACTGCACAATACGTCCTTGAGCCAACAACCCTCCGCTACCCGCTGCAACTCGCAGTTGCCGCAATGGTGGCTGCGTCTCCCTCCCCGCCGCTTGGGATGCCAGCCGACGCCTCCGGCCCGAAGAACGAGCAGATAGACGACGACGTCTTGACCTACCATGCGGCGCGGCACCGGGAGTGCTACGTCGAGATGGACCTCGACGGGAACCACCTCCACGCGCACTTGTCGACCTCCAGCGCCCAGCAACTCAACTCTCCGACATCCAGCAACCGACGCTTCACTTCCACATCCAGCTATCGATTTCCAGACTCCACCTGCCCAGCTCTCCTACCTCTCGCTTCCAGCATCCGTCTTTCCATCTTCACGTGTTCCCACTGACCTCCAGCTTCTACCCGACCTATCGGCATCCAGCCCAACCAACTCAGCCCTCCGACACCCAGCCTAGAGCATCCGACGTCCCATACTCATATTCACTTCCACTTCGCGGTGGAGAATGAGGAGGCGGCCGAAAGAGCTATATATATATATATATATGTTTCTGGCCACTGTCTACACTGCAATACAGGTTATTGGCAAGATGCTGGATTGGATGAAGGTACTTTCCGACTTGTTCCATTGTACGCAACAATCACTACACATGGTCATGATACGCGAATGGCATTTATATTATTACATCATGCCACAATGGAGTTTTCGAGTGAGATTAAGATGCAAGCCTACGGAGAACATGAATCACAGCGCGCAGGACGGGCCGACATTCGGCCGCAGCTAGATGGCTGGAGCTCGGGAGACAAATCCTGCCCCCCCTCAACCAAAATACATGAACATGTCACGGAGACGGAGCTTACGCGCAACAGCGCTAGCACCAACGCCGGCGTCCTCGCTGGCTTCGACGCCAGCGTCGACCTGCGCCAGGGCTTACGACGGCGACAAGCAGCCTGACGCCCAGCAGCACTGGCGAGCAGTAGCACGACGACCAGCAGCACACCTGCAGCACACTGGGGTACAGCAGCAGGGCCCTGGCATCCAGGTGTGGACCATGCAGCGTGGTCCGCAGCACGTCGTTGAGCAGTACGACCCAACAGCGGCATTTTGTCTAGCAGCACTAAGAAGCGCAGCGACGCGACTCTGACATCCATGAGTTCGACGTGCAGTGGTGCGAGGCGCCAACGTCTGCGCCTACGACGGCACGCATGACCGCCAGCGCCTAACCAGCACCGGCGACAGCACCGACGCCAGCGATTACGCCGGCACCATCGCCCGCGGCTGTGCCAGCATCCTTGCCTGCGCCTATGAACGCCAGGCGCCTGCGTCAGCACCAACGTCAGCGCCTAACACCAGCGCCGATGCCACCACCGACGCCAGCATCAACGCCGACGCCTACAGCAGCACCGTCGCCAGCACGAATGCCCGCGGCAACACCCGCCCTAATGCCAGCGCCGACGCCAGCACCGACGCCAGCACGAACGTCGGCACCGGCGCCGGCGCTTACGCCACCGACTTCATCAGCTCCGATATCATCGTTGACATCAGCATCGACGCCGGCACCGACGCCAGCACCGAGGCCAGTACGGACGCCAACGCGTACGCCGGCACCAACGCCTGCGTCTACGTCAGCACGGACGCCGGCACCGTCGCCAGCATCGAGGCCAGCACCAACGCCAGCGCCTTCCTGTGCAAAAGAGGTGGTGGATGCCCCTATTCCGCCGTCGGTAAACCTTTATATGACGCTTGCGCACCAAGCGCTCGAATGGTGGCTACTCGAACGGGAAGTCCAGTAGCACTAGGTGTAGATATCCCGCTGCCTCTTGGGCCCTGCGCCCGCATTGCCGGGAATTCCAGGGTGCTCTCCGCGCCGGTTTCCATGGGGCCCTCCGGCTCGAACGGGAATTCCAGTAGCACCAGGTATAGATATCCCGTTGCCTTTTGCATTTGTTATTCTGGAGACGACCGCCAGCACCATCGCCATCACTTACACCAGCACCGACGCCAGCTTCGTCGCTAGCATCATCACCTACGCGCGAGGGCTTCGAGGATTTGGCATTGTCTCATGGGGTGGTGGCAGGGTCACCCACATGGACCTCGTGCCCATGTCCTCCGGACTCGCCCCCTGAGTTCTGCCTGAGCAGCCCGTGCCGCTGCCCCAGCCATAGGATATTGCAACTAGGGCCCGCTTCGTTTGGGCTGCATTGGAGCCTCTCCGTTTCCCCCTTTCTCTGCCTCCCTCGCTTCGGTCACAGCATTGCATTGCATGATTAGTCTCTGGCTAGTTTTTTACTTTCACTGGCGCTGGCCCCTGTCTCGCGGGGCGGCGCTCACCGCTCTAGGGGCGACAGGGGCGGTTTGCTCTCAGAGCTTCCCGACCCCTGCCCCCCCCAAGTCCGGCTCCACACTGCTCGTTATACTTGCCTGGCCGTTCGCCCTACAGCTATCGCACGTTCAGATCCTGCCGTCTAGCTTGCTCGCGCGGGGCCTTGTGCGTCGTCAGCTCAAGGCTGGATTGCGCGCGCGCGAGTTCGTCGCTATTCACTCCTTCCCCTGCTCGGCCCCCTCCTTTTCCTATCTTTCTCCGCCCTCTGCCCCCCCCTCCCCTTTTCTGTTTTTGTTGCTGGTGAGTCCGAGGCTTTGCTTAGGATCCTTCGTCCGTCCCCTAGCGGGGTCGGGGCTGCCCCCCCCCTCTTTCCTTTTTCTTTTGCTTCTTAGTATACCTCTTCTCTCTTCCTCCCCCCCCCTCCCCCCCCCCTTCTCCCCCCCCGAAAAAATTCACGGAACTTGGGCCCCAGCATTGGCCGCGTCAGATTGTTAGATAATTTTGTTTGGCGCAGTCCCCAGTTTTAGTCTAGAGCCATACGCTGGCTGAAGCATTCAGCGTTGAATTCCGGCTCTGTTCTAGATCTCGCCCCAGTTGATACGTCGCAAGTGGGAATTCTCATCATTCGGCCAGTGGATTTGTTTATCGGGCTTTGAGCGCACGTAGTTACACGCGGAGTTCGATCTCAGGGGAGGGAGAAAGAAAGAAAAAGTAAGAGTAAGAAGAAGAAGAAGGGGCAACAAAAAGAGTGCATTGTGGTATATGACGTGGAGACGTTCGGGGAGTTCCACGCTGACGACAGGATCCCAAGACCACCCAACGTGGGAGAAGCGCGGCACAGAATGGACAGGGCCCCCTCCCTGCTCCAGTTCCGTCGGATCACCACCGCAATCACTGATTTCTACAAGCTGCAGCAGGCCCCTTGCGACCTGGCGGGGGCCCCCTTGGACGTCATCACCCACCTCCTCACCTTTCGCACGGCTGACAAGAAGGACAAGGCGTTGGCCAACGGCGTGAGTAACACCTCACACTGCGGACAAGCTCTACTCGCACGCGCCAGGTCCACCCTTGAGGAGCGCTTCCCCGGCTCGGCCCAGACAGCAGCGGACAGCAGCACAGCGACACCCAACACCCCCGCGAGGCCCCTGGCTGCCA